CAGATGAAGTGAGCTCTTTGTCTGGAAGGGGATGCACATAGGGCCCTCCACTGCCTTTCCTGCTGGTCTCAGGGCCCCAGAGCCCCCAGGCTGTCATGCTTTGGGCAGGGGGCCTCTAGACTGTGATGGATGCTATTGAGGCTCTGAGGGGCTGGCCCAGCTCCAGGCCCATCAAGAGAGGGTGCTGGGGGTTTGGGATGGGCACAGTGACCTGGGGCCTGGTACTGCTGCTCAGGCCTGAGTACACAGAGGAGTGGAATAGAGGATACATGGGCCCATGGGGTCATAGTACTGGCTGCAAAGGAGAGTCACAAGAGAGGCTGGGAGCCATCACTCATGCCATAGCAAGTGTTCACTAAGCACCCACCAATCACCAGGTCTGGAGCTGGGCACAGGCCCCACTCTTCCAGAGCTCTGAGGCCAGACCATGCTCGTATTCAGTACTGTAGTAGAGGACTCTGGAAGCGCAGAGGAAAGTCAGGGAGGGCTTCCTGGAGAAAGCATCTCAACATAGAGACCCACAAAGAGGAATGGGAGTTAGTCTCAGGAAGGAAGGGGTTTGGAGGGGATGCTTCCAGCTCAAGGGACCGCAGGTGGAAAGCATAAGCATTGGGGGCTGCAGGCCTTGGTCTTGCTGCTGTAGGCCCAGGAGTGGAGAGAGATGAGGGTGGAGAAAGAGGCCAGCTTGAGGAGCCCCAATTTAGTGCTCCAGGCAGCTGAGGCCAAGAGAGGGCTTTCCTCAGTGGGGAGCAGCTTAGTCTGACCCATGGTCTGAAGAAATGGCCCTGGCGACCAGCCATATGCAAGAGGGGATGAGGCATGGCAGGGACCCAAAGGAAGCTGGGCAGGGGTCCAGGAGAGGTGGAGGCCCAGCAAGGAGGGGGCAGGTTCAAGAGCTGTTTTGGGAAAGCCAGGACAATGTTCAGTGCTTGCTGGAGGTGGGAGGGAGGGCTGGGAGGATGACATCCAGGCCCCCTGCAGTGTCCATCCCGATGTGGTGTCCCAGTAGAAGCAGACTTGGAGAACAACAGTGAGGCCTTCCCGCTTGGCCGTGTCGGCTCTGGGGTACCTGCAGGCTGCCGAAATGGAAGGGGCCCCAAGGGTCAGAACCACATCCACTGTGCACTGGGCCTGGGCTGACAGCCCTCACGTTTGTGCCTACTCTCCACCAACCTAGCCCAAGGACACACTTCACACACTGACACATATCAGGGCCCCCACCTCCACCGGCTGTGCATGTCGTAACCACCATCCAGGCCAGATGCTGGAGCCAAGTTGCTAGAGGTTTAATCACTGTCACATCCCTAACCACACACAGGCAGAAACACCCCACTCACAGCCAAGAGAGTTGTGTGCAAGGCCTTCCCCGAGGGTGCACAAGCGAGGAAGACTCGAGGCGCCACTGGGGCCTGCACATCCGGGCAGGCGCCGGGCCGGCCTCGGCAAGGGGCCGTGAGGACAGGAGAGGAGCCGAGCTGCCGCCACCAAACATGATTTATACCTGACTCCCACCCTCGGCCTGTGCCTGCCAAGACTCAAGCCCCACTGCTGCAGTTAGCCAGGTTCGAAGTCAGGCTCTGTTTCCTGGGGCTGCCTTCTGACAACGGGAAAATGCGCCTGAGAGAAAATGCAAGAAGACCCGGGGCTGGAGGTCAGCTGCCGCACTGGAGGCCCATCCTCAGCCAGGGCTGATTATGGAGCTGAGTCTGCAGAGCTCTTGGGAGGCTTGGTGAGAAGCCAGGCCTCTGAGGGTAGTACAGAGCTTCAGGAAGCGAGCATTCAACCCTGCCCAAGCTTTACTGTGGGTGGCAGAGTTGCCCGGGGCGGGGCACAGTGGCCTGCCCTCAGGAAACCTCCATTCTGTGGGTGGACAGAGAAGCAAGTAACCAAGCCTGTGTAGGAGCCAATGAGAGATTACAAAGTGATAACAAACCAAAACCAAACTCACCACTGTGGAGTCTGACTCATAGTGACCCCTCCTTGGGTTTCCGAGGCTGTATCTCTATAGAAGTAGATTGCCCAGTCTTCCTTCCGAGGAGCGGCTGGTGGGTTTGAACCGCCAGCCTTCTGGTTAGTAATCAAATGCCTTAGACACTACGCCACCAGAGTTCTCTTGATAAGAGGAAAATAATCAGGACAGTGGAGACAGAGTGACTAGAGAAAGTTTCTCTGAGGAGGTAACCACTTTTATGCTAAGACCCACAGGATGAGGAGTGCAGACCAAGGCCAGGGAGGGGATGGCTGGGCATCAGTAACAGCATTGAGTTTGACATGACACCTGTATGTTTCTGAGACAGAAAGTGGGCTGGCAACTGAAGGATGCAAAGGGAAGGAGAGGTGTAGTTGGGGGGTGGGGCTTCCTGGGGTGGGAACCCCAGAACCAGAGGCTAGCAGACGACTTGGGTTGCACTCAGGAACTTAGTAAACGTAATTGTTGAACCCAGGTCTGGCTTGTCACAGTGATGGATAAATAATGGCTGTGATAGTTCGGTTTGTGTGTCAACTTGGCTGGGCCTGGTTGAGTGGCTGGGCAGCTGGTGTAGTTAATCCCCATGAGGAGACTGGCAATCAACTCCATGGTGGGATCTGCCACAAGCAGCTGGGTAGCTGCCTTTGGGAATGTAGTCTGCTTCCTGTATATAAGGAGAAGCCTTTGGGAATGGTCTCTAGCCTGTGGCACACTTGGACCCTGCATGTAACCGTGTCATTGCTCAGCAGCCTGTGATGCTCTGCCACCTTGGGACTTACAATGGACTTAAGTTAATGGCCTGCCGTGTGGTTTGGTACCATCGGGACTGTGCCTTTTTACTTGACAACCTTGGGTCTCCTCAGCCTCAGCAGCCAGCAGCTGTCTGAGTGAAGAAACGCCTCTAGCTCCAGTGGGCCGGGAGCAGGAGGCAGAGCTGGACCCCAAGGTTGAGGGGCTTTCACCCAGCCCCTAGAGCCTGACACTTTGAACTTGGACTTAAAGCCTCCAAATTGTAAGAATGAACTCCTGTTTGTTAAGGCCATCCCGTTTGTGGTATATTCTTGTCAGAGCGGCACTAGGGAACCAGAACAATGGCCGATGCTGCTGTGTAGGGGGTGCTGCCCCTTGGTCGATGCCAGGGACAGTGGAGCCAGCTTTCTAGGGCCAACATGCACTGTTTTCTAGTTACCAGGCTCACAGAGATGGAGCTTAGCCCAGTCACACAGCAGGGGAGCAGCAGGGCCAGATGCCAGTCATCCGGCCCTCGGTTCCAGGGGTGCCATACCATCAGGGAAAGGCCCCTACCTGGCTCCACCTTAGGGGCACAGACCAGGCCAGCCAAAGATGCCAAGTGCCCCAGGACTGCTCTGGACATGGGCCGCCAGCAGCCAGAGGCTTGCCAGGCCTGCCCCCGATCTCTCCCAGTGCTTTGTTGGTCATAGCCAAACTCCAGCCTCAGCCCCTCTCAGGGTGGGGCACAAGATGACAGTATAAACTCTGATCCCTGGACTCTAATGGGAAGCAAGGTCTCTCTGTGGACAGATCTGAGCATCTGCCCCTCTACCTCTCCCAAGGGTGGTGCACTGCCCTGTGTATTGGCCAGGTTGCAGCTCCACCCACCTGCCCAAAGCCTGGATCCTGGAGATCCAGGATGTGGAATCAGACCTGCAGCTGTGGGTTCTGAGTCTCTGTCTCTGGCAGAGTTGGGGTCCCAATGCGGGATCTAGTACCTATCAAGTGTCTCCTATGGTAGGCTATGACTCTTGTTCACCATCAAGCCGGCCATCTGCCCTCTGTCCACTGTGGAGGTGCAGGGCTCTGAGCCCAGACCCTTGTGACCCAGGCCTCACCCAAGTCAGAGTCAACCAAGACCTCTCACTGTGTGGAATCCCCAGTGACCCCTCTGGAAGCAGTGGGCATCAATGAAGGGGGATGAGGAGGGCAGTCCCTAGCTCTGAGCCAAAGCAGGATGTGGTTGGGGGAGCAGGACCCTGGGGAGCCAGGGCTGCTGCTCCATGTGGGGCTGAGCTTGTCCAGGAAGGGTGCCACGGGTACTGGCCCAGAGCACTGCAATGAAGTGGACCCCTACCCATCAGCCAGGCCCAGTGTCCACCATGGGATGGGGGCAGGAAGCATCACTGGCCTAAGGTCCTTGTTGGGTGCTCAGGCTGGTCCAGAGGTGGGTGTGGAGCTCCGTTGAGAGAGGTTGAAGATGGGGTTCCCACAGAGCCCTGTGGGCAGGGCAGGGGCATGCCGGGTGATGGCTGAAGCAGCCCCACAGGCGTCATGGGGTGAGAGGGGCGGGTGTCAGGCAAGGTTGGGGCTGGCTCTGGGTTCAGGCCTCTCAGTCCCACCAAGCCTTTGTGGCCCCAGGAACTCTGTGCTTGGGAGCTCTCCAGTGTAGCCTTAACCCCAGAAATACGAGGCAAAGATGAGTTAGATTAACAGCCTAAGCTCAGACACCTGGGATGCCTTGCAGGTCACACACAGACAACTCCTGCCCACTAGCCCGGGTGGCTATACAGGCTACACCATCATCCAGGAACGTTTTGCTCCCCACACCGGCTCTAAGGGTGACTCAGCCACGTTCCTGGGTGTGCGAGTTGCCCCCGCCCCCTGCCCCAGGCTTCCCTTTTGCCCCGTAGCAGCAAAACCCAGGCCTGGATTTCAGAGGCAGCCTTGAGGCCTGATCCTTGGGCTGGGCTCACTTAGGCCATAGCATTTCTGCTACTGGGGGGACACATGCGTTTCTCCTGTTGCTGCCAAGGGATCTTACTGGGCTCCTGTGGCTGCAGAAGCATGTGCTGGTCAGGGGTGGACACAGCATGGCCTGCAGAGTAGGACATGGGGGACAGGGGCGTCACTGAGGAGCAGGACTTTGAGTACCCATGGCCCAGGTGTGCAGGATGCCTCATCTTTGTCCTCCCCTCTGGCTCCCTGCTTCCCTGACCTTTGCCCGGGGAGCCCTGGCCGGGCTGCCAGACTCCACTCTGGCACTCTCCACTCACTGCAGCCTCCCTTTGAGCCACAGGTGTCTGGTGGCCTGACATGCACCGCCTGGCTGATCGCATCCACCTGGAGGAGCTGACTCACATTGGCATCCTCAGCGGCAACGTGGATACCATGGTCCAGGCCCACCTGGGAGCTGTGTTCATGCCTCACGGGCTAGGCCACTTCTTGGGCATTGACGTGCATGACGTGGGGGGCTACCCTGAGGTCAGTGTGGACACCGAGCAGCCTGCCTGTAGGCTGTGGCTGAGCCTGCCTTCCCCAGTGAGACGGGGGATAGGGCTTCTCAGTTCCCAGTGGTGCTTGGACAGGGCAGGCTGGAGAAGGTCCCAGTAACACTCACTGGCCCCTCCTCCTTTACCTGTTGGTTGACCGCAGCCCAGGGGTCAATTGCCACACTGCCCCCTGGGGTCCTTCTCCAGTGGCTGCTTCCACAGGACCGAGGGGTACAGTTAGATGCTACCTGAGCACGGGGCCCTCGGCTGGATGTTGGGTGTAGCTCCTGCTCTGGAGGGTAGTAGGTCATCATGTGCAGTGATGGGTCCCTGAAGAGTGGTGGGAGTCCTGAAGCTGGATCTGGGGGATGAGGCCAGCACTGCACCTCTCGTGTTCTCCTGCATCTGGGTTTCATTTAGAGGGGGTGATGAGGCCCTACCAGCTGGCCAGTCACCCTAGTCATCTTGAGGACTGAGCCCAGCCCGTCACAACCCCTGTAGTGGACTCCTTACCCCTGCTCCCTCTGGAACACCCTCTGCTTTCCAGGCCCATGGGCCAGTTTGCCTCCACAGCCTCGTTGTCTCCAGGCATTCTGGGGACCCTTGTCAGGAAAGAAAGGGAGGCTTGTGGGGCAGCTCCAGACAAGGCCTCCCTCCCCCCTTGTAGAGGCTTACTGAATCCTTGAAAAGACCACCAAGAGGGCGATTGAGGGCCTCAGGAGACCCTAATGGGCAGGTGACTGCAGCCGTTGGGCCCCAGGGGTAAGGAGGGGGTATAGCCCATCCCTGCTGCTGGCCCGATGCCCACAGTGCAGGGGGCTGATTATGCAATCGGTGCACGCCTTGGGGCCCCACCAGCCAGTTAGCCAAGACCAAGCTTGGCCTGTTGGCTGCAGGGTATTTTGAAAGCACTAGGAACTATTTTTTGGGGAAAAAATTGCTCAAGAGAAGCATTATTATTCCATTATTTTTTCCTCAAGTGTAAACAGTTAAATTTGGAGAAACAAAAATCAGTTTTAATTTCCTAATTTCTATCCATCATATTCTGTTCAGGGAGCCAAGAGTAGGTCTTTCCAGACATTGTTAACTGAGGTTCATTATTCATTAGTCGCCAAAGCCCTTTTTTCCACCAGAGAAAATTGGCAGCAAACCGTTTTCATCTTTTCCGGTAAGCAGCCCTTTGTGCTCGGAGTCTATTCTTCTGACAGATAAAAATAAGGCTTTTCCTATAAAAGTCATTTGTTTTATTTCAGGCCTACAGACACATCTGGGTCTCTTCTGATCTGAGCCCAGGAACAGTTGAGGCCTCATCAAGTCCTCTGTCCCAGCAGAGGCTGGCATGGGCACACATGGGCACACGCCCCTGCCCGCCCACCCAGGGCTGCAGTACCAGGGCCAGAGAGGGCTCTGGGCAAGGCCTCCCTTCATGGGACCGACACTCCACTCTGTCCTCCCCCACCACCACTACCACCGTGCTCTGGCCACAGGGCTGGTCTCCCAGGCACACCTAGGCTAGGCCCTGTTCTTGGCATGGGGCTAATGCTTGGAAGGGGTAACTGTCCGTGAGCTGGGGTAGGTATATTCTCTCAGGCTCCAGGGATCTCTCCCCCTGCCCCTAATTTGAGTGCTGGTCCTAAATGTTTCTGGGAGGCAGGAGACCTGTCTTTCTCCTTCATCAAACTTGCCTCCTCCCCTCTATCCGTACCACAGAGAAGCTCACCTAGGGGCAGACAGGAGCTGAAAGATGACTTAGAGAGGGATACGACCTTGTCAGGTCCATGGCTTTGACAACCGTGGAGCAGAGAGAAGGGGATGAGCACTTTGAGGATGATAGCATGAAGGTGAGGGACAGAAAGAGGGATGCCAAATGGGGCGGGAAACTCCTAGAGCAGAGAGCCCAGGTCTCCCAACTCTAATAAGCAGCTTCTGAGCAAAAGACAAGCCCCCACTCTATCCCACAGGGACACATAGCACTTGGGCTGTCATTCCTCCTACCAGCTCCTGCAGGCCAAAGGCCCAGAAGAAAGTATTGTGGTGCCAGCTACCTCCCCAGACAGGCATCTGTGCCAAGAACATGACACAGGCAGACCCCTGACCCAGCAGGACCATGGGGCCTTGATGTCCCTCCCCTCCTTGTCTTCTCTTGGCCTGGCTCATAGCTGGTCAGGGTGGCTATTCCCCACCCTCACGGAACCATGGTCACATAGCTTCCCCTGCAGTGCCAGCCTCAAAAGGCTGAGCCAGCCTGCTTCTGGTTACCTTACATGAACCATTAATTGAAATCTGATGTTCTGGCCCCTAAACAATCAGAACTGACAGCTCCATCTCCAGCAGCCTGACTTCCTAGGGGAGCAGGGCAAGCTCAGATCCTGACCAGAAAGCTTGCCTGCTGTTCACAGGCTTGGAGGCCCTGGCCACAGGACAGGCAGGTACCACAAGGGCCTGGGGAAGGCCAGGACACTTGCAAGCCCTATGACACTACTTGCCCTCACACCCTAGGGCAGCCCTGTCAGCTGTACCTCTGTGTGAGTGGACAGGCCCAGAATGAATGTGTCCTCGAGCAGAGGCTGGTGCTCCCAACAACCCACATCTCCTCAAGAGCTGGTAGCTTTGTTTCCTGGGTGCAGTTGGAGCCAGCACCTCATGGGAAAGACAGAGGCTGTGCTGGAATCTCTGAGAGCCATCCCCGGGCCATGTATATACATGTGGATACACATGGCTATACATGTTTATGCGTGTACATGCTGGAGCTGGTGCTGGCAGGCCCATCCTAATGACAGCACCTGTCCCTCTTCCTGGAAGACTGCACAGAAAGCCTGGGGCCTGGCCACGGGGAGCTGGGACCGGCACGTTTGGGGCTGGTTTCCACTTGAGCTGCTTGGGAAGAAAGATGTAGCCCCAGGAGGCCTTGCAATGTCCTTAAGAGCTTTTTTTGGCTTCACTGGCATTGTTTATGCTATGCTCCTAGTCAGGAAAGGGGCCTGGGTATGGGCGGCAGACCCCGAGCCAGCCCCATGGGCCAGCCTGGGCAGCTTTCCCTACGTGCGCACCCACCAGTAGGTACCCGTAGGCCTCCTGTAGGCAGTTCTGTTCATAGTGATGGGAAATCTGGAGTGTGTACAGAGTGGAGTGTCTTCTCAGAAGTGCCCATGGCCCAGCACAGCAGGAGTGTCTGGCCTGAGACCTCAGGATCAGAAAGCCTCACCTACAGCTTCCATAAGATCCCCTGTGGCTGGAGCCATCCCTCTTACGCAGACTTGCGCACTGGGCAGAGGAAGGGTCAGCTTATATGTTCTTCCCTGCCCATCCATCTCCGCATGAGACAGTGCCCTTGCCTGAAGCTAACACCCTCCTTGGTCTAAGGCCTAGAAGTCATCAGCTGGGTCCTCTCTGTGCTGGCTCCCTGTAGGGAACAGATCGCATTGATGAGCCTGGCCTGCGGAGCCTGCGTACAACACGGCACCTGGAGCCAGGCATGGTGCTCACTGTGGAGCCAGGCATTTACTTCATTGACCATCTCCTGGACGAGGCCCTGGCAGACCCAGCCCGCGCCTGCTTCTTTAACCGCGAGGTCCTGCAGCGCTTCCGTGGTTTTGGTGGGGTGAGTGCCTATGGCCCAGTGTTCTTGCTCCCGGAATGCCCACCCTCAATGCCAGCTGCCTATCAATTCTTTGGCCCAAGATGAACCCGAGTGGGAGGAGAGACAATCTTAACTTCCTCACTGGAGAAGCGCCCGGCCTGCCCCTTTCTTGTAGTTTATCAGGAAAGGACACTGATTCCACAAAACCCCTACACAATCCAGGGGCTCTTCTGCCTAGCCAGGTGCAAGGTTGAGGTTGGGGTGGGTAGGTGACATGAGCAGATGACCCCTCAGGTGGAGCCTTCCTTCAGTGGTCATCCACAGAGCCAGCCTCTTATGTCACAGGGAATTGTGGCCACTCCTTAGAAAGGGCTTCTTGCACATAGTGGTGGGAGTCAGACTGGAACTGTCAAATACTACCCTCTAGTGAGGGCAGCTCAGTAATAATGAGTGTCTCTCTGTTTGTCCATCTGACCCAGGTCCGCATTGAGGAGGATGTCGTGGTGACCGACAGCGGCATGGAGCTGCTGACCTGTGTGCCTCGCACTGTGGAGGAAATTGAAGCATGCATGGCTGGCTGTGACAAGGCCTTTACCCCCTTTTCTGGCCCAAAGTAGAGCTGGCCAGGGGTACCCAGCAGGACTGGGGGCCCAGTCTTACACCCTGTCTTGAAGACAGTCAGCCTTCCAATTGCCTGGCCCTCCAGTGTCCAGCATTGTGGTTTGATCATACCAAATAGTGTGGTTTCCTAGGGGAAAAACACTTTTTCTATTAATCTTCTGCAAGATCACATCCTTAATCAGTTATATACTTGGCTTTAATGACACGATTTTTAAAGTCGTAACTGAAAATAACCCTGTTCTTTCACTAGCAGCTAAAACGTCTCACTGCCATTTGTATTCCTTTTCTCACAAAAGATACATTTCCAATGTTTTCTTTTAAAAATCAGTATGTAATAAAAGATTTCCTAAAATTGCCTCCTCTTTCTCCTTCATCCTTTGTAGCCATGTACTGCATGCATGTTGGGAAGCATGGACCTTGAAAAGATGGCTCACCTGGTGTCAGCCTCAAGGGCCATTTGAGGGAAAGGGTTTATGTAGATGGCACAGGCCCTCCAAACTCTGCTTTTGCCTCAGAATGGCCTGGCTATAAATATATCCATATATATATAGTAGAGCAAGGGAGCTCTGGTAGCACAGTGCCTAAGGCATTTGACTGCTAATCAATCAGAAGGCCAGCAGTTCAAAGGAAGGCTGGGCAATCTACTTCCATAGTGATACTGCTTTGGAAACCCAAGGAGGGGTCGCTATGAGTTGGACCTGACTCAGTGGCAGTGAGTTTGGTGTTTTGTTTTATAGTAGAGCAAAAAAGGGGCAAAGAAAACGTCTTAGTCATAACTAGACACCTTGAGGGAATGAGTCACTGGCTCTGGGGGATCAGCACCATAGTTTCTAGGGACATTAAGGTCAGCTGGCATAGCATAATCTACCAAGACAGTGTTCTACATCTTACTGTGGTGAGTAGCCAATTAAGGTGCAACTATTGTTCTCTCCCCATCCGGAGCAAAGAGGAGTGAAGAAAATCAAATATGCGAGTAAACAGTCCCAAGAAAACCCAGCCTCCACAACCCTGAGACCACTAGACGGTGCCAGCTACCACTGCTGACTGTTCTGAAAGGGACCACAATACAAGGTCCTGGATAGAGTGGGAGAAAATGTGGAACAAAACTCAATTAAAAAAAAAAAAAAAAACAGGCTTGCCAGTCTGAAAGAGACTGATGGAATCCCCAAGCCTATGGTCCTCAGACACCCTTCAAGCCTGAACTCACCCCTGCGGCTAAACTTTTGGCCAAACAATAGACAGGTATTAAGGCGAACAGTAAGGGAGGTACGCACTCCTTTTCTATCAACCATACAAGATCAAAAGAGTAGCGTCAACCCAGGGATAAACTCAACAGGCAGGAAGGAACAGGAAAGAAGGACAAATAGAAATTAAATAAGGAGTTATGGGGAAGAATGCTGTTATACCATGGGGATTGCAATCAATGTCACAAAATAAAATTTGCGAATGGATCACAGGTAAGATGGTGGAACAGGCAGACAAAACTACACAGACCCTCTTAACAAAGAAAAGGGGAACCAATTAACACAGATATAGAAGATAATCCTGGAGCCCTGAGCTTTGAAAGGAAGGATGCAGAAGTGGGCTAGTGGACTGAACTCCAACTAGTAAAAGAACCTGCATGAAAACACCAAAAAAGGAGACAACACAGAGAACTGCACTCTGGCAGTGATCCTGAGGGCACAGACAGTGTGGATATTGCCAAGTGGTGTTAGGACCTAAGAATTAACCTAAAAATCAGCCCTACTAGCCAGGGGCTAAACGGAGGACTGCACTGGTAGCTGGTGAATAAAAGAGGAAGCAGCGAAGAGGGAGACAGGCTGAGCCTGGAGGGTGCAGCCAGTTTGAATGTTTACAAGTGGTTTGACCATCTTGGATATTTAAAGCAAAAGTGTTCTCTCAGATTCCACGGACCTAAGAATAGGCTCTACTTGCCAGGGACCACAAGGGCATTCTGGACATGAACGACTGGAAAGGTGCGGTATTTCCCTTATTATATCCCACACCCTCTTGGTGAATGGAGGCGTGGCCATCCCTCACCCCCATGCACCTTCTGGGCCAGCAGGAATTCCATCCCAGTCTGTGCTCCGACAAGCCTGTGTGCCCTGCCTCACCTTGCCCAGATTTTTTTTTTCCTTTTTGTTCAGTTTTTTGTCTGTTTTAAAATTATTATTATTTTCATACGTTTTATTATTCTTTATTCTTCCTTTCCCAGGTTCTAGTTTGCAGCTTTTTCTCTGTTCCTGGTTTCCATTTGTTTGTTTCTTGTGGTTCTCCCCATTCCTTGTTTTCCTTTTTGCATTTTTCCTCATTATTCTCCTACTCCACTTCTTTTCTCTTATTGTCCCCTCCCCAGATACTATGGGTTTTTTTTTTTTTTCTTCTTTTCTTTTTTTGGTGATTGTTCCTGTGTGTTTATGCAGTGTGCTTTTTGTCCACTTGCTTTTACTTTTTTGATGTTTTTTTTATTCTTGTTTTTGTCTGAGTGGGACAGCAACTGTGCCCATCCAACGCAACCACACCCATACCTCCTGCACCTCCACTCACTCAGAGCTGCCATTTCCTTCTCCAACTGGCCAATGATAAACGACCAGCAAGAAGAGCCTGACTCACCCTTAACTGCTCTTTACAAACAGTTAACAGAGATTTAAGTACAACAATGTCACAATGTCTCAGACACAACAGACCATCACAGTCCACACAAAGAAGCAAGATACAGTGGTATAAACAAGGGAGCAAGATACAGACCCAGAACACATCCCTAAGGAAGAAGGAGCACTGCAAATCCCTGATAAGGAATTCAAAAGAATTAGGTATCTTCAAAGGATTCAGGGACTGATCAAGAAAAACACTGACAAAATTAAGCAAAACACAGACAAAAGCCTAGAACAATTTCAGAAGAAAATACAGAAACAAGATGACAAAATAAATGAAACATTAGAAATGATACAAAATCTATAGATAGAAATCCAGAAGATTAATACTAAATTTCATAACAAATTGAAAAGGCAAAGGAGTAGAATTCATGCAATGGAAGACAGAATTGAGATTGAAGACAAATATCTGACTGAATACTTCTTTAGAAAGGGATCGATCACAAAAAAGATCAAAATAAAATGACGAAAGCATAAGTAAGGTTCATGTGAGATACTATCAAAAGGACTAACCTATGTGTCACTAGAATTCCAGAACAGGAAGATAAAAAGAAACCACTGAGCAAATTATCCAAAATTTGTTGTAAGAGAACTTTCCTGATAGAATGAAAGATGAGAATATATCAAATTCAGGAAGTCCAATGAAACTCGAACAGGATAGACCCCAAAAGAAAATCACCAAGACATATCATCACCAAACTCATCAAAACCAAAGACAATGAAAGAATCCTGAAAGCAGCATGGGAAAAACGAATGGTTACCTAAAAGGGACAGCCAATATGAACAAGATCTGATTTTTCAGCAGAAACCATCCAAGCGAGAAAGCAATGGGATGGTATATATAAAACCCTGAAAGAGAAAAATTTCCACCTGAGAATTATATATCCAGCAAAACTGTCCCTCAAATATAATGGTGAAATTAGAAGATTTCCAGATAAGCAGAAATTAAGGGAATTTGTTAAAACCAGACCAACCTTACAAAAGATACTAAAGGGAGTCCTTTGAACAGAGAACCAGTAATAGCAAACAACAATCGACCATTAATACACAAGATGACATAACCCAGAAACCAACACAGTTATGGAAGTATCCAAAGTAAAATAAGCGTACAAGATTGTAAACAGGGAACCAGAGACATCAGTTGGCAAATGAGGACAACTATAAACCAAAAAGAGGGAAAAAACAGTGTAGTTAACAGAATTTCTAAATGGTGAGGAAGTCAAGAGAGTCGATAGACAGAACAGACTGTTGTAAACTCAGAGAGAATATTATAATTCGCAGGGTAACCTCAAAGAAAAATGATAAACCTTCACATCACAATAAAAAAGAGGACAAACACAAATATTTAGCAAATAGTAAAATAAAAGCAACAAAGGAAATGATAACAATTCATAAACATAATGAGCTCAGCACAGAAAATTATATGGAACAAAGAAACCATGAACACCATGCAAAAACATAACAAAATGACAGCAGCCAATTCATACTTGTCAGTAATTACACTGAATGTCAATGGATTAAATGCACCACTCAAGAGACAAGAGTTGCAGACTGGATAAGAAAACAAAACCCATCATTATGCTGTCTACAAGAGACACATCTTAGAGACAAAGACAGAAATAGACTAAAAATCAAAAGTTAGAAAAAGATGTATCAAGCAAATGGCAACCAAAACTTTCACCCAAATCACAATTTTAAAAAAAAAAAGTGAAAAAAGAAAATGGTAATCAAAAAAGAGCAGGACTGGCAATATTGATTTCTGATCAAACTGACTTTAAAACAAAAACCACCATACAAGACAAAGGGATATTATATAATGATTAAAGGATCAATTGAATAAGAAG